AGAGGTGAACAACTTGTGTTTCGCGCGCTCATATGACCTTAGCAGTTGCGAGCGCCGTAAAACCTTATACTACTACTACTACTTATCTAGTTTGATTCCACCACATCGTAACACATTTTAAAAACTTTTTTTTGTTGTTGTCCAGACTGACATTGAGAAAGCCCTGGACGTCGTCTGCGACATCTTGCCCTCGACTCTTCGCACCGAGTGTGAGCAGTTTGTGTCGGAGAACGCTCCGGCCATCATTGCCATCCTGGTCCAACAGCTGAGGCCGCGACAAGTGTGCATCGCCATAGGGGTGTGTCAGAACAGCCAGAAAGGTCGGTGAAGACATTTTAAAAAATTTAGAATGATATGTAGGGGTTTCTATGCCCCCATCGACACAATTTAAACCTATCCGTAGGCCTTGGAGTCATTTTGTAACCCCAGGGTTGTATTCTTCACATTTTAGAATACTTCTAGTGCAAAGATCTCTTTGAAACTTCCAGTATTTCTGAAAAAATCATTTTGACAGACTGCTATGCAAAGCATACAGATCAAGGATTAACAAGTAAATTTCCTCTTTGGAAAGGGATGGCACAGAGTTCCCCACATCGTATTGATATGATAGTAAAACACGACGTACAGATAGGGTTAAAATCTATACTAAAATGGAGGGGCTTGTACGCCCCCATCAACACAAAATTTTAATCATTTAACCCTTTGAGCCCAAGCCACTGGTAAACAGGTGGTGCGTACAACTGCCAGTGTGACTCTGAAATTTGATGTAGACTTAATTGGCTGACCAGACAATCATCTCGCTAGTTTGATTCATCTTCCGGGGTTTTTTTTTGTCGGATTGTGCGTGCATATGTGGGTGGCTGGCAGGTGCTTTGGTGTGGTTTTGCTCCTTCTTTCCAATCAAATATCTATTGTACTTATCTTTTCTCCTTCTTTTTTGTGTTTGGCACTTCTTTGACCTAATTGTCTTGCAAGTGCCTTAAAACTTATTATGATCTTTTTTATTATTGTTATTATTATTGCTATTTGTTATATATTACTTAAACCCATGGACAATCCTGCATTACCCGGTTTGGGCTTCTCTGTTGACATCCACCCCTTGACACTCATATGACCTTATGTAGTTGCGAGCACTGTAAAACCTTACTAAAACTAAATCCTGCTTTGTCCATTGTTCCTCTCCAGTAAATTTTATCTTTTGTCCCCTTATTTCCCGTTTGGTGTCGACAGAATCCTCCATTGCTCTGCCAGCAGTGAAGCCAAAGGTTTCCAGCGCGACTTGCACATTGTGTGAGTTTGTGGTCTCTGAACTGGACAAGCTTCTCACAGAAAACTCCACTGAGGTAGGCTCCTGTATTTCTGGATTGTGGCTGGTCAGTTTTTTTCTTGGTGTAGTTGTTGAATAATGATAATAATTCTTTTTTTAAAAATAAAAGATGTTGCATCAGTAACATACACCCCCCCCCCCCCCCCCCCCCCAAATGAGGAGGAGGAGTGGGAGAGACTGGGCGAGAGTTAGGGGAGGGGGGGGGGGGGGAGTATTCGTATCATCTTATAGCTTGTTCACTTGCCTTTATTTGGATGAAAAAATATCGGTTTATCTTGAATACAAGTCGAGATATTTGCGAAAGAAGGAGGTGGGTGTCACTTGTTTTCAGAGGTAAAATTAGTGAGAAAATAGCCACCAAAGATTAGTTATTTCCTTAGCATAAGAGTCCGTGGTGTCTGAAAAATTTACGTTTTTAGTGCCTTTATTCAACGTTTTTCAGGAAAATCCACATAGAAATGAGTTCTTTAATGGGCAGGAAAGGTGTTGAGCCAAAAAACAAAAATTTGATAAAGATTCACAAACCTGTGTTTCTTCACTTTAATTATTTTGACAGAGCCTGATTCCACCACGCTGCCTCGCATATGTATGCTGATAATGTTTATGTTCCTTCTTAAAGTGTGATGCACCATTTAGCTGTCACTGTCCTCTCTCATTCTACCACTAGCTGGGTGCTCTTTTGATGAAAGGAATGATGGCTACATTAACATCAACTGAAAGTCATTAGCCTACTATATTTACACTCTACTGGAATGAAGCAATAAATCTTGGGAGAAACGTGACACATGTGTTTCCAAGTTGCCAAATATATAATAAATGAATAGATTGATTTTCTATTCTGCTTTCATGGTTGCACACTCCAGAATTTCAAAGGTGTGGAATCAATACGCACGGTTAGTGAACGGAAACCTCACTTCCGTTTTTTTTAAAAATGAGACTGAAATTGTTAATCGTAAGATTTCTTAAGCCTAGAACTCTGTATGGACGAAACAAAACATTTTGGAAAAATGGGGGAAGGCAGTTTGCGTGGATTTTTAAAAGTTATGTCCTAGCCACGTGGATGATGTGGACGCCTGCAAAGTTTCCAAAGTGTGGGTTAGGTAATAAGGAAGGAGTTTGTGCACAAAGCCTCCCAAGTCCACTTTTATATATATAGATGATTAAAAACTCCAAAAAAATAAAAGCTAGACTGTTTGTGATTTCTCCGCACTTAATATATTTATTTTTTGTTGTTGTCTGAATTAAAGAAAGTACTAATTGTGGACATTAATTTTTTTTTTTAAACACCAATCTTTTTTTTTCTTTACTCAGTGTATATCTGCCCGTGGATCAAGTTAATAATAATAATAATTGCATTTATATAGCGCATATCCATGCTCAAGAGCATGCTCTATGCGCTTTACAACTATTATTACCCCAGCAGACCCTCTGAGAACACTCAGAAACATACTCAAATTCCGCGGAAGCATACAGTGCAAGCTGCGGATTTCACGCGCTCAAACACTATTAAACTGACAAGATCGTTCACTGTCTATAGCCGGGTACCCATTTCCACCTGGGTGAGGTGAGGAAAATTTGTGCAAAGTGCCTTTCCCAAGGAAACAACGTCGGGCCCGTGACAGGATTCGAACCCACGACCTAATGGTTGCGAGTCCGAGAGCTTAACCACTAAGCCACCGACGCCAAAGAGCTTACTGGTCACAATTTGTGTAGAACTCAGTATTTTCTGTATCTTTGGTTCAGAATGAAATGGGAGAAATGAATGAATTATGATCTATGACTGAAAAACCAAAAGTTGAAAGCACAAGGGTGGAGAATTTATTGCTAATAGTTGAATCTGCAGTGGGCGGTGTTATTGCTTGGGCCATTGAAAATGCTGTTTGTAAAGAAGGAAACGCTCGCTGGCTTTCACTGAATGGTTGGTTGGTGGGTACTCTTGATTGGTTTGCTCCTTCTTTCCTTTCAAACATCTATCATCCTTATCTCTCCTCTTTCTTTTCTTTGTATTTTACTCTCTAGTAAAACCGCTAATCTTTAGCACTTGTATGACTTAATTGTGTCAGTAGTGCTGTAAATCTCTAAATAAGCCTAAAAAAAACTAAGCTGTCATTTCAGCACTACAAGCAGTCTTCATTCATAATGTCTGAATTTTACTCTTTTGACTGATGAACTGTTATTATTTTATGATTATATCTTTTATTATTATTATTATTATTATTATTATTATTAGCTGTCATTTCAAGGCTACAAGTAGTCTTCATTTGCGATGTTTGACTTTTTCTCTTCCAGCAAGAGATCCGGAAGGCTCTGGATGTTGTGTGCGACCTCCTGCCCGCCACCATCCGCCAGGAATGTCTGACCTTCGTCAACGAGTACGCCCCCGACATCGTGCAGCTGCTGTTGCAGAAGCTGCAGCCCAAATATCTGTGCACGGTCCTGGACCTCTGTACCGCCACCTCTCAGCCATCAGGTGCCGTTGTACTTTTATCAATGATAATAATAATGATAGTAGTAATAGTAATAATAATAGTAGTAACAATAATAAGGATAATAGTAATAATAATAATAGTAATATTAATAATGATAATAATAGTAATAATAATAGTAGTAATAATGATAATAATAGTAGTAATAATAATAATAATAATAATAATAATAATAATAATAATGCTTCAACGACGTAAAAAGAATGTGATTCCTTTTGTATTTCAAGGCATGAGTAGTGTCAATCCCCTTGCAAAAATTCAGCAACAGAGTAGATCTATATTTATGCACACTGCTCTTTTTTTGTTCTGAAGTAGATTCTAGTTCTTTCCTGTTGACTAGAACTTTAGTCTGTCCTTGTTACATTTGTGAGGCGTGCTGACAAAATGAGTTACTTTTTGCAATGCACAGATCCATGCACAAATGGAGATATTGGCCAAAAATCGACACAAGGGTCAAAGTTGTAGATTTTTTAGTGATGCCATGTTCTTTAAGTATAATATGCCTTTTATTATTTCATACTTATAAAGCGTTAAAACTTCACCTATTAGCATTGTGTATCTATTTCCATAGTTTCGAATCCGTCAAGTAACTCTTTTAGTCAGCACCCTTCACATTCAGTCGTCATATTTGTGAAATAAGCTTGTCTTCATCTCAAACCTATGTCATACTTTACTTTACTTTACTTTTCCGATCCAGCGGCCATTTGGGTTCTAGCCCTTCGGTCTGTCGATATGGCAAAGAATTTGCAGGTTTTAATCAGCTGTGCTTTGTCGCTGTATAGGGTATTTCCAATGTCTGGGGAGGCAGGTAGGCAGGTGCTACGCAGGTCACAAAGTGCTGGGCAGTTAAAGAGGTGGTGTGGTACTGTTTCATCCTGGCAGTCGCACAGCGGGCAGTCGGGTGGGGTAAAAAAAAAACCTATGTCATAAGAGTCGACACTTATTTCTCTGGAACCCTGTTTACACAGACATGAATGGTAGCCAGAAATTCTTGATGAGGTGAACTAATCTTTGTCTGTTTTTACTTTTCACAGAATCACGTGTCCTGACAGAGACAGCAATAAAGGTTGACGGCCCACAGTGCGCTCTCTGTGAGTTTGTCATGACTCAGCTCGACCAGCTGCTGTCTGAGAATGCCACCGAGGTAGGCTTTTTCTGTTGTGGGTGGTTGGCGGGTGCTCTGGTGTGGTTTGCTTCTTCTTTCCTATCAAACATTTATCGTCCTTATCTCCCCTTCTTCTTTTTTATGTTTGTTACTCTCTTGGAACACCTCTAATCTTCTGGCGCTCATATGACCTTATGCAGTTGCGAGTGCCGTAAAACCTGTACTAAAACTAAAACTTTCTCCGCTGTTCTAGTGCTTCCGCTGGACTGTACTATACCCAGGAACCCAGTGGGAAGATTTGAATTGTTTAACACTTGGCCGTCACATCTCACAAATGCCTTTGATGGCAAGGGTTTTTACTCTGAGCCTTGTGATGGCAACACTTTGCCGTCACTCGGCTCAATAATGCGCCAGTGAAACTGATCCGCTGCGGTCTGCGCCAGGCCTGAGAAGTCCGTTACAGTCACAACTCTCCTGGCTGGGTGATCAGATTGGGTATTTTGTAGTGGTTGCTGTGTGACAGCAAAGTGTGAAGTATGCACAGATGCCTGTACCATCTCTTTAAACAAGAGGGAGAAAAATGTCACAAGATGACAAAGCTTCTTTCTATCTCATCTTCTTTTACCAACTTGTAATTTGTTTGTCATTATGAAACACAAGTACTTAGTCAGACATACAGACGGACTCACCGACAGGCTGACAGACAAGGAGATGAAATAGGAGCTGCCTCACATTTCTGATAGGTCCTTTTTCTCATGCTGTTGATTAGCTATGATAAAATTGATACTTAGCTTTTTCTTTTGGTAACTCATTAGCGTTTTAATTTTCTCTTTCAGGAGGAGATTAAGAAAGCTCTAGATGCTGTTTGCGACTTGCTGCCTCCCAGCATCAAATCCGAATGTCTGCCGTTTGTGAACGAGTACGCCGACTACGTCATCAAGCTGCTGGTACAGAAACTGGAGCCCAAATATGTGTGCACCGTTCTCGGACTCTGCTCTGGCAACGCGAAGAAACTGCAAGCAGGTTAGCTTCTGGTTGTGGTTGTATTTATTTTTATGTCCTCAGAAAGACCTTTGTGGGTGGGTGGCTGGCAGGTGGTCTGGTGTGGTTTGTTCCTTCTTTCCTATCAAACATCTATCGTCCTTATCTCCCCTCCCTTCTTTTTTATGTTTGTTACTCTCTTGTAACACCTCTAATCTTCTGGCGCTCATATGACCTTGTGCAGTTGCGAGCGCCGTAAAACCTCTACTAAAACAAACAAAGAAAGACCTTTTTCTTGCCAAAAGTAGCATGCTTTGTGGTGTTTAGGGTATCAAGTATATTGTATATTAAAATCCAGATGTCACTTGTTTTTATAATAATTTCTTTTTTGTTATTTACTTTTCTTAGTTCTCCCAAGAAGTCAGTCTATGTTTCAAGATAATCATCGTAATCTGACAGATAAATTCAAGACTACATCATTAAAGGCTTGCTACTATGCACAGCTAACGGGAGAGTGTACAAAAGCTAAATTATTGTGCACAGGGTCTTACCTGACTGAGGGATATTTTTTATTAGTTTGGTAAATTCAGAACAAGTAATTAGAAATTACTCCGCAGTATTGCTTTAATCATGCCTTTCTTAAAAAAAATTTTTTTTCTTTTTCGTTTTTATGCGCCCAAAATGAATTATGTCATACTCAGTTTATCAGCATCATCATCATTGCCTTTCTCACCCTGCACCAGGGTATAGGCCACGGACAAACACTTTTCACCTTTCTTTATCCTGGGCTAGCCTCTTGATGTTATTCCATGTCTTCCCACTTTTCTGTACATCAATTTCTGATTCTCAATTTACGGGTGATGGTAAATTTTGATGCTGTATACTTAATACTACTTTCATTTTTAGATTGTTTCTTCGCTCTGATACCTATAGCATAATCCTTAATTCTTTACGATGCTCTAATTTTACATGTATTTTACAGTACCTCAGGTGTTTCTTCGCTCTGATACCTACAGCATAATCCTTACTTCTTTACGGTGCTCTAATTTTACATATATTTTACTACAGTACCTCAGGTGTCAAAGGTCAGCGGAGCTGGAGATGAACTGTGTGCCATGTGTGAGCTCGTAGCTCAGGTTCTGGATCAGACTCTGGCGAAGAATGCAACTGAGGTTTGTAGGAGCAAGTTTGGTACTTTCTTAGTTCTTGTTCTTCTTCCTTGTTCTCCATGACAACAGCTAGACAGTCAGTCCGATTTCGTGCACAAACTGTGCTGTCCGCTTCAAATCTGAGAGACTGCCATAGAGCTTTCTCTCAAAAGGAGTCACATTCTGCCACATTGTGTACGAAGGGTGGCGTAGCGCGGGCAGTGCTGAAGGATATATACTTTCTTCGTGTATATGAATCGTGTGAACGCCTCTTTGTGTATGTTATGTCAGTGGATTTCTGTATAATAATTCTTTCTAGTCAGCTCAAGAAATAAATAATAATAGATAGCATTTGTATAGCGCATATCCCCGCTCAACAGCAGGCTCTATGCGCTTTACACTATATTATTACCCCAGCAGACCATAGAACACTCCGAAACATTCTCAGCTTCCCGGGAAGCATACAGTGCAAGCAGCTGATTAAGCGCTCAAACACTAGCAAACTGACAAGATCTTTCGCTGTCTATAGCCGGGTACCCATTCCCACCTGGGTGAAGTGAGGAAATTCGTGTAAAGTGCCTTTCCCAAGGACACAACGTCGGGCCCTTGACGGGATTCGAACCCACGACCTTACGGTTGCGAGTCCGAGAGCCTAACCACTAGGTCACCGACGCCACTATGTAATGTAAGAAGCTATGTCATGTATAGACAGCACCTTAGAAATTGTATAATGTTGATCAGCTGTCCTCAGGGACACAGCCCAAAATGTTGACATTTTTGTTTAAATTTCAGTTTCCTTACCAGGTATCTGTTTTTTGAGAAATTCAAATTCAAAATGTTGAAGAAAAAAAAAAGCAATAAAAGGTATACACGATTGGCACCTCTGTTCTTTTGTCTATTGTGCTTTTTGCAGCCTTGAAGACCATTGGCTAAAACAGCACCTGGACGGGGATGACTGGTGCCTTTATAAATAAATCATTGATGGTCGTTGTTCAAGACCATTGTCTTATTTAGTTTCCCCTCTTTTTGTCTCACAAAGTGAAAGTTTGGGGCATCCCCATGAGCACTGGTCAATAGAATTGATTTATTTTAAATTTCTATCATGTTGAGCTGTTTTCTCTTGTTTCATCCAACAAACAAATTGAAGATATAGGACGTTGTCGCTACTAGTGTTTGTCAAGAGAAATTCAGTCTGGAAATGTTTCTCTCTCTCTCTCTCTCTCTCTCCCATCCCCCCCATTCTCTCCCTCCCTCCCTCCCTCTCTCTCTCTCTCTCTCTCCCCCTCCCCCTCCCCCTCTCTTGCTCGCTAGCTCTCCCTCCCTCCCTTCCTCCCTTCTCTCGAGTCCCGTTCTCACTCCAGCCACCTTTCTCCATCCCGTTTTGACCTGGACCCGGGAAGCCTAAACCGTTAAAAATGTCGGTCCCTCCCTCCTCATCACCCCCAATTCACCTTTCACCCTGAAATCTTTTTATAATTTTGATGAAAAGATATAAAAAGAAATGTGCCTCGATCATCTTGCTCTCTCCGGGAAAATAGAAAATAAAAGAGGCAGAAGTAAACGAAAAATAACTCACCAAATAAGCTTCTACAGATCAGTGACGGGGAATACTAGAATAATGCTATATGCGTTACGACGCGGTGGAATCAGACGCTCGTCAATTTTTGGGCATGTGGAGTTATTGGTACCATCTGAAAGCCGATTTTTCACCTTGCTTTTAATGAAATAGATCCATCTATCTTGAATAAAACTCAAGATATTTGCTATTGTGGCGTCGGTAGCCTAGTGGTTAGGCTCTCGGACTCGCAACCGTAAGGTCGTGGGTTCGAATCCCGTAAAGGGTCCGACGTTGTGTCCTTGGGAAAGGCACTTTACACGAATTTTCCTCACTTCACCCAGGTGGGAATGGGTACCCGGCTATAGACAGCGAAA